GGGGAATGGGATCAAAAACGGGGGAAGGGTTTGGGGAGGGAAGTGCACGGGGTTATGGTGATGGCACACAGGTGACTTGGTGATGGGAAACCCACTGGGATTACAATTGAGATGGGGGAAAAAATGTACAAAATGATGTAAAAATAAACTGTTATAAAATAAAAAATAAAAAAAAGCCAATAACAATGTATGATGATGATCAACCTCATCCATAATTCAGAACACATGTAATGAAGTCAATTAATGGAAATATAAAAGACACCCACAAATTAGCAAATTAGTAAATAATTAGTACATAATCTAGTAATGGAAAATTTTGTAAATGATGTAGAGAAGTAAGAACTTTAAAACTAGCATGAATGTGAATTGATAATAGCATCAGGCAAACTATCATTAACCTAGTAAAGATAAAGGTAATATAAATATTCCATGTTCCAATAGTTTTATAAATATTCCATGTTCCACTAGTTTTAAAAGAATTTAATGGTAAGTAGTAAATAAATGTCAGCTATCAGAGTCTAAAAAATATTAAGGGGCCTCCCTGGTGGCATAAGTCTCACAGCTATCAAGTTATCTCAGGCACTGAGACTGAGTTGGACTCCCACCAGGGAGCAGGCTGCCCGCACGGTGGCCCAGCAGACCTCTCCTACTCGCCCTCTGCTCCCTGGACAGTGTAATTCATTCAGTAAATCTACCTGTTCTAGACCACTCTGTTTCTGGTAAATCCTCTCACAAACTCCCCACACATCTGGCCCAGCTCTTCAATACATAAATCTTTTTTAAAAAGAAGTTTATATAATAAAGAAGATACCTTAATATTCACTAACTGATACTCATCAACTCACCTTTAAAAGGGAATCCGCACTTGCTGGCCTTAGAACCTCTCTGTCTCTAGAGTCAGGAACACTGGGGCTGAAGGCCATGAGGTCAGCCTTGGGCGGCCCTTCTCCCGAGCACACCCGCGGCCGCCTCTGCTGCGAGCACGACCAGCTCCCCACGGC